CGTGGGGCTTGAACTCTGGGCCTGGGCGCTGTCCCTCAGCTCTTCAGCTCAAGGCGAGCGCTCTACCACTTAAGCTACAGCGCCACTTCTGGTTTTCTGGTGGTTTATTGGAGATGGGAGTCTCCCGGTCTCTCCTGCCCGGGCTGACTTTGAACCGCGATCCTCAGATCTCAGCCTCCTGAGTAGCTAGGATTACAGGCGTGAGCCACCAGCTCCCCGCCTTTGGTAACTTTTGACTGGGCCTCCTCAGGTAGTACAGGTTGGCTTTTGAACTCTCCCTTGCCCTGCCTCAGCCCCTCAGCCTACAGAGTGCTGGGATTACAGGCGTGCACTGCTGTATTCAGCTTCATGGCTTTTTTTTGTTCTCAACCATCATGACCTAAAAAAGGTTAAAAAAAAGAATGAGTGCTGGTGGCTCACGCCTGTAATCTTAGCTACTCAGGAGGCTGAGATCTGAGGATCACAGTTCAAAGCCAGCCTGGGAAAGCCAAATCCACGAGACTCATCTCCAAGTAACGACCAAACAGCCAGAAGTGGAGCTAGGTGTGGTTCCATTGGTAGAGAGCTAGCCTTGAGAAAGAAAGAAAAGAAAAAAGCCATACAAGAGCATAAGGCCCTGTGTTCAAGCCCCAGTTCCTCCCCCAAACACACACAAAGGAAAAAGAAGCCCCAGCTGGGGCACCGGGGAGGAACAGAGGCCCCCAACTCTGCTGGGCATGGGGAACGAGCAAGAAGCATCTGATAAGCCACCCTAGAGAGCGATACCCAGTATGTGAGATGTGGGGAAGGGAGCCTGGGTGAGGGCCAGGCAGCCTGCTCGGACATGCACAACTGAGAAAGTACAGGGTGGCGTCCAGGAGTAGCAGGGAATAAATTAAAACCCCCAGGTGTCCACTGACAGGACAGTTTCATCGATAGCTCTTGGCCTCTGGAGCACTGTGCAGCAATGAAAAAGAAGGGCCCAAACCACACAGGATTTATTCATGCAGCATCTGTTTAATTGACCCCGTACAAAGGGTGCTGACCGTTCTCAGCACTGGGCCCACAGATCCAGTCTCACATTCTAGTGGGTGGAGCAGACAAACATCCAGGCTAACTGCAGCATGACAAGTGCCAGGAAGAAAATAAAACTGGGTAGGGGGATGCAGCAAGGGGAGGTGTGTCCGAAGAAGAGGTCTTGAGCAGAGGCCAGCATGGGAGAAGAGCTCAGCTGCCAGTGGGGGGCTGCTGTAAGCCCCCTGCAAATAAGATGAGAGGAGAAATGTCCTTTACTCACTCAGGTACATCGAATTCTGGAGGGCACAAACTCTTGAAAAGCCTTGTCCCCAAATGGCCAGGATTAGGATTCATGGTGGCCTTCTGTTTCACCTTATTTAATTATTTGCTAGTTCAGCCTCTCTTCGAAACAGTCTCACGATGTAGGTCAGGTCGGTCTCCCAAGTGCTGCACAACCCCTCCTGGCTTCATAGTGTGGTGTGGGTCACTATCTCATGTATAATGATAAAATTAAATCATGAAAATCTGCTGTTAGCTGGGGAGTGGTGGCTCACACCTGAAATCCTAGCTCCTGAGGAAGCTGAGATCTGAGGATTATGGTTCAAAGCCAGCCCAGGTAGGAAAATCCATGAGAATCTCATCTCCAATTAACCAGCAAAAAGCCAAAAGTGGCACTGTGGCTCAAGTGAGCTTTGAGTAAAAACCCCAAAACAATAACAACAAAAAGCTCATAGCACCTAAGACAGGCACACACACACACAACACAAAAATCTGCCATGGTGAAGGAGGCTGGTTCAAAGGTAGCGAGGGCTTCAGGGGTCCCTAAACACTGTTTTTCGCTAGATCCAGGTTCCAGGCAAGAGGGGACCAGGATACATGGGGTCATGGGAGCTCCACATAGGAACTTGACCCCCAAGGAGCTCAGCGCCACTAGCATAGACAGGTAGGGGTCCAGACAGGCCAGCGTGTGTGCAAAGTACAAGGCAAGAGTAGACAACATAAGCAGAACCTGAACTTCACCTCCTGCCTCCAAGCCAGGCCTCCTTCCCAGGCCTGAAGCTGGCCTCTCTGGGCAGCATCCTTTGGCACAGCAACAGTTCTGCAACCCAGAGGCCCAGCCCTGCTCCTGGGATAGGAAAGCAGCGCCACCTACTGTCAGTCCCCATTCACAGCCATCTGCAGGCCACCCCGTCTGTCCTGTACCTTCCTTCCCTTCTGCCTAATGGAGCCTTCCCTGCAAGAAGGAAAAACTTCTTTTAGGAGGGGATGAGCACATTCACTTGTCCAGTCTGGTGTATGCAGAGGGGCAGAGGGTTCTGTGTGTGTGTGGAGGGCGTTGTGGGGCTTGAACTCTAGGACTGGGCGCTGTCCCTCAGCTCTTTAGCTCAAGGCTAGCACTTTACCACTTGAGCCACAGCCACAGCCACTTGCAGTTTTCTGGTGGTTAATTGGAGATAAGAGTCTTATGGACTTTCCTGCCTGGGCTGGCTTTAAACTGTGATCCTCAGATCTCAGCCTCCTGGGTAGCTAGGATTACAGGCGTGAGCCACCAGGGCCCAGCTCAGAAGGTTCTATTTAAGACTAGCACAGAAATTCACAAGTATGACAATGCCTTCCTGACACTTGCCGCAATCTCAAAGGGTAGTTGGCGTTGGAAAACTCCTCCAGAAAAGAGAATGTCTTACCCACACTAGCCCCAGAACACAGATTTTCTGGGCACAGTATGAGGCCTAGGGATGCCAGTGCCCGAGTGTGTGTGTGTGTGTGTGTGTGTGTATGTGTGTGAGACAGTATTTGAATACAATTGATACAGTCTAAATAAGAGGTTCTTGGGCTGGGGCTGGTAGTTCACGCCTGCAGTCCTAGCTACTCAGGAGGCTGAGATCTGAGGATCCTAATTCAAAACCAGCCTGGGCAGGGAAGCCTGTGAGACTCATATCTTCCTTTAACCACCAGAAAACCAGAAGTGGAGCTGTGGCTCAAAATAGAGCACTAGCCTTGAGCACAAAAGTACAAGAATAGCACCCAGGTCCTGAGTCCAAGCCCCACAACTGACAAGAGGTTCTGAAATGGGTGTGATAGTATATTCCTGTAATCCCAGCTATATAGGAGGTAAAGAGGAGAGGACTGCGTTTCCAGACAAGATCTTGTCTCAACATATTGAACTGAAACCTTTTTGTACAACTCCCTTGAGAGAGAGAGAGAGAGAGAGAGAGAGAGAGAGAGAGAGAAGCACCCTAGTCTTAATAACCAAGCTGGGTATCATAGTTGGAACTACTTGGGAGACAGATAGGGGAGGATTGTGCTTAGAGGCTGGTCCTAGGCAAAAAGCATGAGAGCCTAACTGAAAGCTTAAGCAAAGGGGACTGGGGGTGTAATTCAAAAGGTAGAGCACTGAGTGGAGACCGTGAGTTCAAACCCCAGTACTGCCAAATAAAATAAATAGTGGCCCTGGCTGTGGCCCCCAGATGGAGCCCAGCACAGCAGCCTGAGAACCTAGCCACTGGCCCAAAGATTTTGTGACCCTTTGGGATTAAATAAACGTTTATTATGGAGTGACTTTAGATGTACAGAGAAGGTGCAGTTGGTACAGAGTCCCACACCCTCATCTCCCAGCCCAGCCCAAGGTCACAGGAAGTCACAACCTTTACAGCACAGGTGGTCCACACCAAGGGGCTGGCAGAGTTAAACCATGCCAGATCTCCTGCCAGTGTAGAGCCACAGCGCCACTCCGGTGTTCTGGTGGTTTATTGGAGATAAGAGTCTCACAGACTTTCCTGCCGGGGCTGGCTTTGAACTATAATCCTCAGAGCTCAGCCTCCTGAGTAGCTAGGATTACAGGCGTGAGCCACCAGCACTCAGCTCCAACGTCACTTTTTTGTGTCCAGACCCGTCTGCTACCACCTACACGGCACTTCTTCCTTCTCAGCCTTGCTCCCTGAACACTCAGAGGGTGACAAAACTGCTGTCCTAGCTCCCCAGCTGGGGACACGGAGGCTTGGAAGTGTCCAGTGATGGGTCTCTGAGGTCAGTGGAAGCAAGGCCCCCCTCACTCTGCACCTTGTTTTGCCAACCAGGTTTGCAGAAGCCCCTCTGGAATATCCTACCTGTCCACTCTGTGCACCCCATCTGCCAGTGCTGACATTGAGGGAGGCCTCTCCCCAGCCCCTCCCCGAGGAGATATCCAGCCCTTCCTCTGGATGCCCAAGGCCCAAGGGCAGGACAGTGACTCAGAGTGGATGAGTATGTGTGGTTATGAGACAGAGACAGAGAGACACAGAAAGAGGGGAATCCCCCACCCCTCCAGTCTCGGAAAGATTTCCTTTCTGATAAAAAGTTGATAGATGAGCTGGTCTGGCCCTTCCCCTTCCCCTACTCCTTTCTTCATTAAACACTGACATGATCTCTGGAGATATGGCAGCCGTCTTGTGACCACGAGGTAGGCAGCGCGGCAGGCACTCAGAAGGATCTCAGAGAGGTGGGCCTGCGCCTCACCGAGTTAGTGAGGGAAAGCCATGCTCCTCATTGGTCTCCGGATTCCAGGCCGTGTGGAACACACCCATTTTATTTAAGCCCCTGTCGCTCAGGTTTTCCCTTCTTTTCTATTGCACTGTCCACATAACAGATATTATAACGCCAAAAATCTGGAAGGTCCTTGTTCTTGGGGGCTGGAGCCTGGCCCGGGACACCGGCTTTGCTGCGCATCTCCTTTCTCGCGCCCTCCTCGGGAATGCTTCGGGGACAAGGCCGCGGTCCCGAGGTGGACGCCCGGCCGGGCCTGCCGCGGGCCAGCGGCGTCCGGGGCCTGGGCAGGGCGGGGGCAGGTGCTGCTACTGCAGGTCAGGGGTGGAGGCGCCCAGGTACACCCTCAGGTCCGAGAGCGTGGAGCGCACCAGCTTGGCGGGGATGGTCTCGCGCTGCAGCTGCTGGTAGGCGGCGTAGCGGTGGCAGCCTCCGAAGGAGTAGAAGTAGTCGCCGCCTCGGGCCCCTTTGATCCAGAGGACGTCGATGGGAGGCACGCTGTCGGGATCCTCCTGGGAGGGAGGAGGCACAGGGCGAGTGAGCACCGACCGCCCAGGACAGCGTGCAAAGCCGGCGGGGGGGGGGGGCAACCCGCGTGGAACTCCTACGGCGCATGCGCACCGGCGTGGCGGACACACCAGCCAGGCGCCCCGGAACCCTGCGCACTGCCTGGCCGCCGCCGCCAGGGCAGCTCCAACACCAGCCGTGGGGGGATTGACACCGGGGGAAGGGGCAGATGCTGCAGTGAGGGGTCCTCCCCGCCCCGGAGACCAGGGTGCGAAACTTGTCTATATTGCACTGGCATATCCACACCCAGGATAAGGCCCAGTGGGGAGGAGACCAGGCCCTGACTTTCAGGGGTCTCAGTGTAGGGGTGCAATGGGGTGACAGGGATGGATGGGGCTCAGAGGCCTCTGAGGATGCTGACGCAGACTCACTTGGACTAGTTTAGATCACTCGAATCTCTGCTCTACTCTTTACTATCTGTGCGACTCCTCGGTGCCTCAGTTACCCCATCTATCAAAGGGCATGTGTGTGGTGTGTGAAGACAACTGATCGACCCCACAGAGCAGATGAGCTTCATGAGCGAACACACACCAAGTGCTCCAGCAGTGCCTGGCTCACAGGAAGTAATGCATGTTGCATATTACTTGAGGGAAGGAAGAGCATCCCAGACAGTGGAACAGCAAATGCAAAAGCCCTGAGGCAAGAACAAGCTCCCAGTGCTGGAGGTAAAGGAAGAGGCCAGCAGACTAGAGTGGACGTGGAAGGGTGAAGAGTAAAAGAGGGCAGAAGGGTCAGCAGGAGCTGGAGGTGGCAGATTCTTTCTAAGGCAGTGGGTCAGCCCTAGAACTTTGTGTTTTTGTTTGTTTTTGCCAGTCTTGGAGCTTGAACTCAGGGCCTGGGCACTGTCCCTGAGCCTCTCTGTGTTCATGGTTAGCACTCTACCACTTGAGACACAGCGCCACTTCTGGCCTTTTCTGTGTATGTGGTATTGAGAAATCAAACCCAGGGCTTCATGCATGCTAGGCAAGCACTCTACCACTAAGCCACATTCTCAGCCCAGAACTTTGGTTTCTGAGACAGGAAAAATCGATGTCGTTGTTCCAGGCTGGCTTGGAATCCCAAATCCTCCTGTCTTGTGCTGGGGCATCATGGTGGGTGAGCAGAAGACCAGTCCCTAAAGATTCCCGTGTCCTGGACTGGGGGTGTGGCTCAATGGTAGAGGGCTTACCTAGCACATCCGGGAGCCTGGCTCCTTCCCCAGCTGCTGAGTAGAAGGGATTTTGGCAGAAGGGACTTTGAAGGGAATTCAGGATTTTAGGTTCAGGAGGTCAGAACAGTTTACTCATTCAATTCTGGGTGTAATGTGGTCACCAGAGACCTTAATAGTGGAAAAGGGCGTCCACAGTGTAGTTTTGTGGTAGAGTGCTTGCTCAGCCAGCACAGAGTCCTGGCTCAGTCTTCAGTACTGGAATAAAATAAAATAAAAAGTGGAAGAGGACTGGGCATGGCACACACGTGTAATCCCAGCAGGAGGATTATGAGTTCAAGTCCAGCTGGGATTACATCTCAAGATCCTGTCTCAAAAACACCCACAAAAAAAAGGAGAGAAAGTAGGAGAGGTAGGAGAGGAGGGCAGCAGGAAGAGGGGGGGGGATGGTAAGAAGAGCTCTACCTGCTTCTGCTGCTTTGGAATGAGGAAGAGGCCTGTGTGCCCAGAAGCATGGGCATTCTGGACTCTGGACTGTAAAGTGAGAGGTACATGCCTATCACCGAAGTCACTAAGTTTGTGGTAAGGTGATAGAGTGGCCATGGAAAAATACCTGGGTGTGTCAGCTCTCAAGGAGCCTGAGGGCGCAGCCAGGGTGACAGGTATCCAAAGAGGCCTTAGAAAGGGAGTGGGATGTTCAGGTAAAGACACAGGAAAAGTGACCCTAGCCCAAGAGGGGAAGAGAGGGGAGATGCAGACACTGGAGAAGAAGAAATAGTAAAGACACAGTAGGAGTTTCCTGACAGGGAGAAAGGCCCATTCAAAGGCCCAGTGGTGGAGAGAGGGTGCATAAGCACTGCGCAGAAAAGCATGTAAGGCAGTGGGGACCAGGAGCCAGGACTTCTAGGCACGAAGGCAAGAGATGGCAGGGCAGGCAGGCAGGAGCAGGCTGGTGGAAAGCTGTGGAGGTGGCTCCAGCAAAGCTGTAGATCTGAAAAACACTGTGGCCTGTGCAGGTGAAGTGCAGGGGTCTCACGGGTCTAGAAGGGACAGGAAGCCATGTAGGCCTAGCCTGACACATACATTCCAGTGTCCCCTCTCCTGGCCCCATTTCCTGCCAGAATAGCTCCAGCCTTCTGGAACACCTGCCCTGCCGGTGAGTCTGCCCCTAGTCCTCTCCCATTCCCAGCAGCAAAAGTGAGGCACTCCCCGTGCCTCAGTTTCCCGTAAAGGAGAGGCAATATAAACCTAACAATATAAACCTAACTAGTAGCTAGCACAAGGCTACCAGGGTAAGAGTTACCCATACATAGAGCTCTATTTTCACTGTCTAGCCCCATTCTCTCCTGGCAAGTGAGGAGGATGCGGAGGCCCAGAGAGGCCGTGCCACTTGGTCAAGGTCACACAGTCGACATTCAGCTCCGCCTGCGCCCACGTCCTCCTCCCTCCTGCCTGCAGGCCGGCCTCCCTGGCTCACCCGGATCGTGTCCACGAGGCTCTGCACCTTGGCCGGGTCCAGCACGGAGGGCAGCGGCCGGATGAGCACGCTCAGGGGTACGTTGTGCACAGCGGCGATGCAGCCCGAG